GATCTAGAGCCTCTCTCTTTAGAAATCATCTTCTCTCTTTGATTTCTCCAAATCCATTAGGATTTTGGCCATAGTTCCTTCGTCAAAGTTGTGTAACTTCTCGAGGGTTTCGTTGTGTACGGTGGAGATCGAGTTTCATTGTCTTTGATTTTGGGGGTTTCAACTCTTTTCTTCTTCAAAACTTGAGGTAGGGATTTGCTTTGAGTTATATATATGTTTTTGCAAGATGATTTTCAAAATCATCCTTTGATTAGTTTTGAAAATTGATTGTTGATTCAAGAAGATGAGTGATTTTGAAGTGGGTTTACTTTCTTTTCCTTTAAAAAATTGAAGTTTGGGTCTTGAACTTTGTTGATGAAAGAAAGATATTTTTGGTGAGATCTTCTCAAATATTTGAAAATGGTTGGTTTTTGTGAGAAAACCTACAAATTGGGGGATTTTTAGAAAGATTTTGAAATCTTTGGAAGATGTTGTTATATTTATTTTGTGTGCCAAAATAAATGATGTTAGAAAATTGTTCATTTATTTACATATAAACGATGTTTTCATGGAATATGAAAATTATTGAAGTTTTGGGAATTGTTGTTTAAAAGTATTAATATAGTCTTGAGATGACTAAGTTGTTGGAAATGTTTGATATGTGATAATTTTGTTATCCTGTGGATGAATTGAAATAAAAGTATTTATTCATCTTGTGAAATTGTATTGAAGTAAGAAATAAGAATTTTGATCACAACGAGAATATTGTGTGGCAGTATTGAAAGTGGAAGAAATATTACATTGTATTATTAATCATTGCATTGGCATATCAATTCATTTGATTGCATTGAACTTTGAAAGTTGATTTGAAAACTTGCATTGAGAAAGGAATGTTGAGAAACAAATTTTCAGGAAATGGTTTTGGGGTAAATACAGTGGTAAGTCTTGAAAGGTAGTGTAGAGAATAGGTGTCGAGCCTTCCAGTCAATACTGGTAAAAATGACAGATTATGGGTGTTGAGCCCTCCAGTTGATACTGGTAAAAATGACAAATTGGTAGTACTTGTATAGTCTACTTGCAGACACTAACCTAGGGATTATGAGAGTTATATTTACTACTCCCCAAAAAAAAAAAAACAATAAAAATTTATAAATGTTGAGTAGTTGAAATGGCATGACATCATTGAGCATGTTAGTTTTCAAAAGATGAAGGTGTGTTTTACTTTCAAAAAGGCATGGCATGGCATAAGCATTCCATCTCATGAGAATTGTATAAAATGTATATACTTTGTTAAGAATTTCCTACTGCGCTTTATACTCGCTCTACGGGATTTTTGTGTAGGAAAAGATGCGGTGTTTCCGCCTAACTGAAGGCGTGGAAGTGTGTACAGAGAGCATGATGTGCTCATTTGCTATGACTCTGATGGTAAGCCAAGGGCTTTGTATGTGTGGGTTTGAATAACCATTTTGTGTAACCAGGCTCAAGCCTTGGAAACTTGTAAACCTTTGGGAGTATTTGTTGTTTAATTAATTGTTGTTGGATTAATGTATTATCGCATGAGGAACTATTTACATTATGAAATGCGAGTGTGGGATTGTATCATTGGTTTTCCTTAAAAAGGGCCATGATAATTGTATTACCATTTGGGCATGAAAACGGGGGCGTTACAACTTCAAACTTGAAATTGAAATATTTGGGCATCTTAGAAACTTTAATTTGATGCTCAGAATATTTTAGATGTTCATCAAAAAATTAATCAGGTTAACAGAAATTAGGCGAGCTTAAATTAATTTAATTGGAATTAAATAGGTAATGAAGATTTAAAATTGAATCTAATTAATTAAACTGAATCAAGATTAATGAGTTAATGGAATATAATTAAATTAAGAAATATTTGTTTTGAATAAAAAATTGAATGATTATTTGATTTAAAAACCATAAGCGAGAAGTTTAATAAGTTTGGTCTAGTGTATAAAACTTTTGGGAGCTTAATTAAATTTAAGTGAAATTGGAATAAATCAAGACTTAATTGGGGTTCATTAGATTAATTGACATGAGAATTTTACATAATTAATTAAGATTAATAAATGATTAATTAAGTTAATGGATAATTAGTATGTTAATCTAATCTATAGCGATCCCGGGTTTACCCTTGTAGTATGTTAATCTAATCTAAGTCAATTAAATGAAATATAGAGAAACTTAATAAATTCAATTTTATGTGTAGAGTTATTATTTTGAATCAAAAATTGAAAGCTGAGATGATTTAAGAAACCAAAAGTGATGGGCTTAATTGAATCAGTTTAATATGTAAAACCTTATGGGAGTTTAATTAAAAAATTGATTCAGATTAATAAAGTTAGGAATAATTAAATAAAAGATTTAATTTGAGATTAATTAGAAGAATTAAGTTAAGTAGTAATTATAATTAATTAGGATTAAGTGGTGATTGACTAACCTAATATACAAGTAGTGAATAAACCGACCCCAAATGGGTCTTTCTTAGGTATGCCTTGCGTACCATATGCAAGGTACTTATACATTTTTATGTTTTTGGTTATACAAGTTTGTATTACTAATTATACAAATTTGTGTTAAAACTTATATATTGGTGGTAAAATTAATAAAATAATATATTATATTATATATGTGTAAGTATTTTCAGAAAAGTGTGTAAATTTTCACAAAAACGTGTAAGCCTTTTCACAAAATATTTGGAACAACACAAAAGGCGTAAATTTTCACAAATAGGGTAAGTGATTTCACAAAAAACATAAGTTTTCACAAATAGAGTAAGTGATTTTTCACAAAAAGCGTAAGTCAACATAAAAAGGCGTAAACACAAAAGGCATAAGTTTTTACAAATAGGGTAACTGATTTCACAAAAAGCATAAGTCAACACAAAAGGCACAAGTTTTCACAAACAGGGTAAGTGATTTCACAAAAAGCGTAAGTCAACACAAAAGGCATAAATTTTCACAAAGAGCGTAACTTTTTACAAATAGGGTAAGTGATTTTACAAAAAGAGTAAGTCAACACAAAAAATGTAAGTTTTCACAAATAGGGTAAGTGATTTCACAAAAAGCGTAAGTTAACACAAAAAGCGTAAGTCAACACAAAAAGCGTAAGTTTTCATAAATAGGGTAAGTGATTTCACAAAAAGCGTAAGTTAACACAAAAGGCATAAGTTTTCACAAAAAAAGTAAGTGATTTCACAAAAAGGGTAAGTTAACACAAGAAGACGTAAGTTTTTTTTGAAGAACTAACAAAGTGATTTCACAAAGTCAACACAAAAGGCGTAAGTTTTTACAAAGAGGGTAAGTGATTTCACAAAAAGGGGTAAGTCAACACAAGAAGGCATAACTTTTTTTGAAGAACTGACAAAGTGATTTCACAAAAAGCGTAAGTCAACACAATAGGTGTAAGTTTTCAGAAAGAGCGTAAGTGACTTCACAAAAAAACGTAAATCAACACAAAAAGGCGTAATTTTTTTCAAGAACTGACAACAACACCAAAGGCGTAAGTTTTTACAAAGAGAGTAAGTGATTTCACAAAAAAACATAAGTTAACACAAAAGAGCATAAGTGTTTTTTCAAGAACTGACAACAGCACAAAAGGCGTAAGTTTTCACAAAACGCATAAGTGATTTCACAAAAAGGTGTAAGTCAACACAAAAAGGAGTAAGTTTTTTTCAAAAATTGAAACAACACAAAATGCGTAAGTTTTTACAAACAGCGTAAGTGATTTCATAAAAAAGCTTAAGTCAACACAAAAGGACGTAAGTTTTTACAAAAGATGTAAGTGATTTCACAAAAAGGCGTAAATTTTCACAAAAGGCATAATTGATTTCACAAAAAAGCGTAAGTTTTTTTCAAGAACTGACAACAACACAAAAGGCGTAAGTTTTCACAAAGTGCGTAAGTGATTTCACAAAAAGACGTAAGTCAACACAAAAAAACATAAGTTTTTTTTTTCAAGAACTGAAAACAACACAAAACGCGTAAGTTTTCATAGATAGCTATGAGTAAATTTGTTTCAAAAAATATAGAACAATACAAAATGCAGAAGTTTTCACAAATCACATAAGTCATTTTACAAAAATGGGTAACTTAACACAAAAACGTGTAAGTTTATCACAAAAATGTAAAACACAAATATGCTTAAGTTTTCACAAACCATGTAACTGATTTTACAAAATATATAAGTTTTTACAAAAAATGCATAAGTTTGTTCTAAAAAATATAGAACAACACAAAATGTGTAAGTTTTGACAAATGACGTATCTGATTTCACAAAAAGGCGTAATGTTTCACAAAATGCATAAGTTCGTTTAAAAAATACACAAAAACACAAAATGCGTAAGTTTTCACAAAGTCACGTAAGCTGTCTCACAAAAGTTAGGGTAGTTAACACAAAATGACACGTAAGTTTGTTTTTAAAAATTTTTAACAACAGAAAAATGTGTAAGTAACTGCAACAAATTACACTTTTGTCGACTAAATTTGGCAATCAAAAGGAATTTAGTAGCCAAAAGTTACTTTTTTTGCAATTAAAAAATTTATTAGTCGGCGTTGGTTCAAGGTTTAACTACAATATTATTTTAGTCGAGATATATTATTTATTAGCGACAAAAAAAAATTTAGTCACTAAATATGATGTAAATAGGCGACTAAAAAACTTTTAGTTGGCATAAGCCTAGATTTTAGACTACTAATTCTTATTTTTGTCGTCATATACACTTACTTGCCAACAAAATGAAGTTTAGTCGCCAAATAACATGCTTATTTTTGGATTACTCTTTGCCAACCAAATAATTTTATCGGCAGGTATAAATTGTTGATGACTAAAAAAATTTAGTCGTTGTATGTTCAATTTTTACCGATGACAAAAAAAAATTAATAGCCAAATTATGTTTTTGGGTACAAAAATTTAGTCCTTATTGATTAATATTTGTCGACAAATAATAGTTTAGTCGCTAAAGGTTGAAAATTTATATTGCCGCCCGCGCCCGTCTTCTCTGTTTCACACATTCTCTGTTCTCTCTCGGTCTCTCTCTCTCTCTCTCTCTATTTCCCATTTCTCACACGTAGCTCTAGGGTTTTACAGAGAAAAAATTTTGTTGTCAAAAATCAAAATCAATTAACAAACTGATTTATTTTAGTTTAGCGAATAAGAATCATTCAGAAGCATTGATTCATAAGTGCATTCATAAATCTATAACTATTACATAAAAGAACGGAAGCATACACCTCAATTGAATCTAACGCTATCTTATTGTCCATTTCACCCTTCTTGTGCAAAGAGAATATTAGTTGAACCAGGTGGCTATCTTGTTCACATCGTTTGAAGATTGAAGGTCGATCCTAGAAATTTCCTATTCGCTGAGTCGTATTTGAACGAAATCATCAGCCACTGCTCTCACTGTGGCCTATTAAGAGAGGAAATCACCGGAGGTACAACACCTACACTAGCTCCCCGCTTCATCACCATCGCCGTGCTACAGAGATGAAGATATAGGTATTTTGTATCCAGTTCTGTATGTTTTTGGTGTGTAATCTTCTGGCTGCTTGTTTGTCTTATATTGGGATATGGATACCTGATTTGTATTTATTGGTGTTTGTTTGTATTTATTGCTATTTGTTAGTGCAAAAGACAAATTATGCACACTATATGCTTGATAAAATGCCTGACTAGCTGTCCGATTAAGCCAAACCCAATTTATAAACCAGTAAATTAATGGGTCTCAATAATTTAAATTCTGCCTATTATTTGTTGGTCAAAGTACCAGAACATTCTGATGAATTCACAACTTTAGATAGCTAGAACTCGAAAGGGTTTCAAGATTAAAGGTTATTTAAAGCAAAAGATAGCTTTTTTCAATATGGGTTTTGAATTTTGAAGCTGAAATTGGATTCTGAGAGATAGGAAAGTTGTTTTCTTTGTTTCTTGGAAGCTAGCAAAAACCACCAAAGAACATTAAATTCACTAACAACTTCCCAAAAAAAAACACCAAAGAACAATCTAGAACCAAAAACAGACTGAAGAAAACTAAAGCACTTGTTGTAGAATTGAAAATTGGAAATTATGAGATTATGTATATATTTCTATATACAAAGAAAAATACCAAACCCAGATTGTATTGAATTAGAAAGAATAAGGAAATATGGAAGTCATAATAAATGATAATTCAAAAGTGCTTAAATATGTTTGCCCACAAGAAAACAAAATGAACAAATTGCTATAATAATTGATAGAAAGTCCCCGAAGAGAAAAAGCATGCAAAAAAAGAGAGTAAACTTTGAGTTTTTATTGGTATAGACCCATGAGAGACAACTTATTTTGTTAATATGCATTGTTGCTTATTCTTTGCGATTATGAGATGCCAATTGATGTTTACATATGACTTACTAAAATGACATATTGTCAATTACGAATTGTTAAGATCTTAAAACTCGTAATCTCTTTCTGCTTCTTCATCACATGTCCTTAAGAGCAGGCCTTAAGATGTCTTGGTTGTGAATAGATTTCTATAGTGCTATTTAAGATTTGCTCATCCTATCACCAAATCTGCACAAATAACAACAAAAACAATAAGGAGCTGAAGGAGATAGAGTTATTGAGTCGACAAATTCAATTACCACCAGTGAACTTAATATGAAAACTAAATCAAATGGAATCACCAAACATTTTAGCATTCACAATTGCAGCAACAATAGTTATATTCATACAATTACTACTACCAACTAAATATAGATGGTTATAAATATCCGAGTTCCAGCAAGCTTTCAATTATGGTGTCTAATGGTTTGAAGTGTACATGTGGTGGTTGGTTTATTGTTTTCTCACTTTGAATGTTTTTCTCTCTAAAACTAATACCAGCCTACTAAAAGCATCATTAAGCAGGGAGAAGCCTTCCATTTCTGATTTTGAGACACGCACATGCACACACAGAGCCCCACATATCAGTCAAAAGTTTTGGATGGCATGCAATTTTTTAAATTTATTTTTCTTGGTCATCTTACGTGGAGATTGCATCTTTCTCAAAGTTTTTGCATCTTTTTGATTAATACCAGCCTACTAAAAGCATCATTAAGCAGGGAGAAGCCTTCCATTTCTGATTTTGAGACACGCACATGCACACACAGAGCCCCACATATCAGTCAAAAGTTTTTGATGGCATGCAATTTTTTAAATTTATTTTTCTTGTTCATCTTATGTGGAGATTGCATCTTTCTCAAAGTTTTTGCATCTTTTTGATGGCATGCTATTTGGTTATCTAGGCCTTGGAATTTTGTGCCAAATGACTTTACATTAGTCTATATATCTCATTTTCTTGTTGATTTTGAGAATTTAATAACTCTCTAATTCTCTGTCTTTAACAACCAATTCTATACATATCCCAACTTCCTAAATTACATCTGTGCTTACAGTTCATTGATTGCGAATCAGCCAATAGTGACAGCTTTTTGGTGCTTCTATTTTTTTTTTTCTGAGGTTTTCTTTTTTATTTCTAACTTCTAGATTTTGTGATTCCATTTATATAGAGCCAATTCCAATAAAAAAGGTACAAGATTAACTAGATTCAAACTGAATAATGATGCAAATTCTGAAAATGCTTTTATAAGTGTTCAAAATATACTGTATACATAACAGGAATAAAATGGTTAGCATATAGTACTGCCATGTTGCTTTCACTATACATTGATGGTTAATATCACGGGTTGTACTAATTAGTGTTAAAATTTACCATCACCTACCACCAATTTACCATCACCTACCACCACCTACTCCTCACCTACTCCTCACCTACTACACTCACCCTCTCCTATATAATGAGCCACTCACCATTTGTAATAGATACAACAAGACATCAATCAATAATAAGATCATCAGATACATTTATTCTCTCTGTATTTTTCTCTTTATACATTGATTTTTTACAATTAGAGACCACAATAGCTTAATTTAATGGTGCATCTTGATCAATAGAAGCCATTTCCTTTCTTGGAATATAATACTTAAAAAAGCAGTTGATTGTGCAATGTTTTTTAATCCCAGGTAAGTTGGGATTTGGACAGATTACCCTTTAGTTAGAAAAAAATTGGGTACAATGAGGCCACGAACTGTTGCCATTGCCAAGGAAAATATAAAATCTTCACTCCAGTTGAAGACCACATAATCAACTGAAACTTTTCCACTTAAATTAAAAACATATAAATACATGCCAAACCTCATCTTTGTGCTATATTTGAACTTTTTGTGTGTGTGTTGTGCGCCCCCATTCTATGACACCCAAATACATGGTGCACACTTCATTAGTGAATTTTGTATTGGTCTTCGAGACAATGTTACTCTTTAGTAAATTTGTTTTACTAACTTGCTCGTGATTTTGATGATTAGCAATGTATTCAAAAGAGATAAGACCCCCATGTATTTTTTAGTTCCAGCATTGATATCAAAATGTCAACGGTTTGAGACAAAATGTCAACATCCCCATGCAATTTTTAGTTTCAGCATTGACAATTTCACATGGTTCGTAAGGAGTTGTTCCTTGTATTTGAGTAAACTCTTCTTATTTGTTTCTTCTTCTTCTCTACATTGATATCAATGGTTTGTAGGGAATTGTTCCAAATGTTTGTGGAAACTCTTGTCATTCATTTCTTTTTCTTTATTTATTATTTTTTTGGGTGCAAAATGTTTCCATTCACTTGATATTGCATTCTTTGAACCATTGATGAGACTTTGAAAATTTTAAAATCTCCAATTGGATCGAGAAGAGCAGCATACTATTTCTATTTCAAACTCAGAATGGGTCGCATGCTGAACTCTGACCAACACATATTTTTGTTACATTGAGTTCTGTTCAATGTTTGAGATTAGATGCAAACATAAATTATGTAGAACTTATTTTAGTGGTTCTATGTGATTCTACGAAAAATCAAAGATACTTGTATGCATTTGAATTGTGAAAATATGCCTTACACTTTTCTTTTTTAGAAGTTCGACCGTCTTATGCCCTATCTCAACTAGTGTACTGTGTTTTATATTCCATCTTTGCCTGCTTAAACTTTTTGAACATCTCTGAGTATCATGGTCAAAATTCATCATAGGTATCTAATGAGATTTGATTCAAATATGTGAGGGAAACCATTAGCCAGGTGATAAGCTCACGGTATAAGAAAGTTTTTCTAACTAATTTTTCTATATTTGCTTTTCGTGGATTGAGCCCATACTTTTAAAATTTATTTGGCAGATTGAGTTTGTAATCAAATGAATCTGTTGCATAAACTTGATGTTCAGTCCACCCCTCTCAACACCCTCGGTTAAATGCGAAGTTGTTGCCTATACATTGACATATAAACTATAGACAAGTTTCCTAGCAAGGAATTAGCTGAAAATCAGTTTTCCCTGCTCTACTCTACTTTATTTTCATTTTGTGTTTTGATTCTGTAATTTTCTTTTTCTTCATTTTTGTTGATTTTGTTAAGGTTGGCAACCTAGAATCCAAGAAGGGGCAGCTGAAAATATGCCTTACACTTTTCTTTTTTAGGAGTTCGACCGTCTTGTGCCCTATCTCAACTAATACACTATGTTTTGTATTCCATCTTTGCCTGCTTAAACTTTTTGAACATCTCTGAGTATCATGGTCAAAATTCATCATAGGTATCTAATGAGATTTGATTCAAATATGTGAGAGAAACCATTAGCCAAGTGATAAGCTCACGGTATAAGAAAGTTTTTCTAACTATTTTTTCTATATTTGCTCTTCGTGGATTGAGCCCATACTTTTAAAATTTATTTGGCAGATTGAGTTTGTAATCAAATGAATCTGTTGCATAAACATGATGTTCAGTCCACCCCTCTTAACACCCTCGGTTGAATGTGACGTTTTTGCCCATACATTGAGATATAAACTACAGACAAGTTTCCTAGCAAGGAATTAGCTGAAAATCAGTTTTCCCTGCTCTATTTTCATTTTCTGTTTTGATTCTGTAATTTTCTTTTTCTTCATTTTTGTTGATTTTGTTAAGGTTGGCAACCTAGAATCCAAGAAGGGGCAGCTGATTGGGATGAAAATTGGGACAAGTTTGAAGATGAAGGTATGTCAAACAGTTTTCATATAGGATTAGGTGGACATTTAGCTTGAGTATCTTTTTGTCAAGAAGTGTTTGATGATGGATGTTTGAGTGTCTGCACTACTTGGTACTCTTCTTGTCATTTAAAATGCATCTAATGCCTCCCTTTTTTGATTGGCCTAAATGTTTTGTGGATTGAAAATTTTCTGGTATAGGGAATCTGAAGCCAACATGTGCAAGTTGTAGTTGTTTTATAATTTTGATGAACTCTTGCCACTTTCGAGTTTCACATTTGTCAAAGAGCTCACTCTTAATGTGGAAAATGTTGTGGCTCCTCTTCAGTTGTTAGTAAAGCATCTTCCACAAAAGAGGGTGTACATGTTTCATTAACAAATGCTGATCATAACTCAGAAACGCCACCAAATGGAGGGGAAAGGATTGCCGATGATGCTCATAGCGAAGACAGCGTAGAACTTCAGTGCAAATGGTTCACGCATGCTAGAGAGACCTAGAGGTACAAGTTTTAATTTGCATCTTTTTGGTATTTTCCTTCTACGTTGGATTTGAAATTTTTTATTGGTGTCCGAACCTTTAAACCATTGCACGGCATCTATCTACACCTATTGTTTTATTTGAAAATCTGAATTTCTACATGATTTTATTAGTGCACTGAACACGGGGGTGTTGAATCTGTGTTCTCTGGGGACAGAAGTGTTGATGAACGAAACTAGGGTGCATTTGACGCTCATGATACCGACTTAGGCTGGGACTTCAGTTCTGGTCCTATAAAGGTATATGAATACTTCTTGATTTGAGTGGCAATCCAGTTTGCCCTGTGCATTAATTAGAGATGCAGTGCAGCCATGCATGATGCATGTGAAGTTTTGATCCATATCCCTTCGATCATTCAATCTCACTTTTCTTTGGCATTGTCCATGAGAATCCTTTTTCCAGAATTTTTGGTTTAATGTTCTTTTGTAGATCATTTTTTTCCAAAAAAAACAAGAATCAAATATTTCATACATGTGAAGTTTTGATCCATATCCTTTCTGAAATATTTTTGACTTACCATAAAGAAAGGGATGTTTGTGTGTATATAGTTTTTGTCTACAACAGGGAATTACAACATTACCAAGGCAATTAGTAAGTAAAATTAATGGAGTATTGTTTTCAAATAAATCAGTAGTCGCTTGGATATTCAAAGTGACGGGCAAGGACACACATACATATATTGCATATAATTACTGTCATTTATTTCATTTCGCGACGTTGTTAACGTAGATAATTGAAATATATATGCAAGATTGTGTATAGAGAAAAAAATAAACATAGTACATTTTTCGCGTGGGGGTTCAACTAGTTTATTTTTTAAGAAAAGATTTATGGTAAAACAGATTTATGATTTGGGCTTTCTTTGTTTTGTGCTTTTCTTGATTGAGCAAAAACCATCAGGCTTTGTAGAGTTTGAGAAACACAAAACCCAATCATACATTCTTCTAGAATGTATGATTGGGCGTGTGCGATCGATCTGTGGGGCTGGACTCCTCCGACTTCGAGCTTTGTCTTTCCAGACTCTGGTTCTGTGTGCAAATCAAATTTGATAATTCCAGTGACTCTTAATTGAATTTTGTATGTTAATTTTGTTCTTCTGTGTTTGGAGTTCAATAGTGTGGGTTTGTACTCATATTACTTCATGCTGTTTAGATCCAATAAATTCCCTGTTAAGTTGTACACAAAGTAAATAATATGCAGGCTGATGCAGCAGTAGTTATGGATTGTCATAGGTTTTTGCTCAAACTTATGTCTTTAGTTGGCTTTTCTTGTCAATACATGCTTAATCCTTTAATGGACTATTGGTATAAAGAAATATTCCATGTACCAAAAAAATAAAATAAAGGTAGTAAGTTCCTTTTCTAATGAATTATAAAAACATATTTCTTTATTTTAATTTTATGGACAAATAAATGGACTGGCACTTAGCATTAATTTTCCTTTTCAAATGAATTATAAAAACATAATTCTGCATTTTAATTTATGCACAAATAAGTGGACTGGCACTAGGCATTTTGCCACTGTTGTAATCATGGTTTCATTCTTTTTACTCAGCTGCATATGAATGTACGGTGGTGTTAACCTGACTTTGATTTCTCTTTTTTCATCTTTGATTGAGGCTTATTAATTTAGTGCATTTGCGGTCCAGTTTTGGTACTAAAGTGGCACATTAAACACTTCAGAGTTGTTGTTCAGTTCTTGTAGCTGCTAGGTGCTCTGTATACTGTTATGAGCAGCAGTAGTAGTTTGACATGGTTCTTATACAAACTATTTGGTTCATGGTATGTCAAATGGTCTATGTTACTCTTAAGTCCTGCCTATGCTAAATTCAACATTGCAATAACGACCTCTCTATTGAATTCATTCTCTACAAGGTTATTTTTTGTCTTTGGAATTCTTGTTAAATTAGCTATATTAATCATTTCTGTGATCATTTTCATTCATTGATTGTCTCATTTTTTTGTTTGATATGGTAATATGGGAATTAGATTTGTTAATTACTTAAATACAATCTTTTGCAGTTCTGAAATTCTGATTGTTCTAAAATTCTAAGTCCTGCCTATGTTAAATTCAACATTGCAATAACGACCTCTCTATTGAATTCATTCTCTACAAAGTTATTTTTTATGTCTTTGGAATTCAAATATGAATTTAAGAAAATTTGAGACCTTTGTATGGCCAGTCTATTATGAGTCTGGTTTTATAATTTGAATATTTTTTTTTTTATAAAAAACATTGTGTAATTTTGTGTATATTATTTATAAAAAAAAATTAGATCGATTTGATAATCATGACTTTATTCGTTGTAAAGAAATTCCCTATTCATGTTTTACTTTCTCTCTTATTTTAGCACTTTGTCCTTTTCTTTTAATTATGTTGTGAGAAAAAAAGTGTTGAACATACCAATTTACATTGGCACCTTTATGAAAAAAGATTTATTTAGTGCTCATATATTCATTTTAGTATGATGTTGATTCTAAGTTCACTAATAGGATTTGGCCTACTGTTCAGAAAAAGCTTGTAAAATAGAGAATATGACAAATAGGACCTTCTACTATCCACAAATCTTGCATACTGTGGATTTTCCATTATTGAGTATTTTTCTATTTGTTGTCCATTCCCACGTTGTATTTTTTCTTGGTTTGTAGGGTTCAAAAGATGGACAAGAGTTTGATGATGATAAAAGATAGGTTGAAAAGTAAAGAGTATCAACAAGGTGTTAAGTCATTTATTGAATTTGCTATGAAGAATTTAGGTCGTGTGTCGATTGCTTGAATGTCACAAAATTTAGTCGACAAGTTGTATGGTTGCACTTGATTCGAAGAGAAATCGCGTGTTCTTATAGAACTTGGGTGCACCACAGGGAACATGCTCCCATGTGTCGTGATGATATTGACATTATTGTTTTGAATTCAAGCTAATAGGAACCTTCATTAAGGTTTGAGTTGTCACCTTCATGTTAATATGCTTCTGCTGTGTTGATGAAATTTATGTTCTTAACAGTAAAAAGCATCAGAATCAAAGAATTGATTTGAAAATACTTCATTTGCATACCCAGGTCAAAGTATGGGGTATTGTCAAGTGAGACATGTTTTGTGAGACATGTCTTGTTTATAAATAAATGGTTTGTGTATATCATTTTCACTGTTTGTGTATATCATTTTCACTGTTGCTTATGGGTTTTGTTTAATTTGAAATTTTGTATCCATACTTTCAATAGGTTTTGATTTGTAATATTAGGAGACTTAGCAGCTGAGGACGTGGTGTTTGGATACTTTGAAGGACTTCATTCTGATGTGGAAAAAGGTAAGCACATGTTTTCTATGAAATATTCACTTTCCTTGAATTGATTAGGAATACTCACTGGCAGCTTATCAATTATGAAACAGTTGAAAAGAGTACCTAAATGGCTGGGTTTAACATAGAGTAGATTAGCACAACAAGCTTGGGCTTCACAAACATTCATTTAAGTTAATTGAAAAAAAAATTAAAATAATCCAACATAAATAATCCAAATTAGTCGAAAACGGGCGTTCGAGAGGCAAAAATGTAAAACAGCCACCGAACCACTCTAGGGATGTCAGGGGTAGCTTCCTCGTGACACATAGGACCTGTGGGGACAGACGGCATGTAATTACACACGTAGGTTGGGAGTTGGAGTAAAAAATGCCTTGAACTTAGTCGAAAAAAGGCGTTCGGGTGGTGAAAATGCAAAACAGCCCTTGAACCACTCTATGGATGTCACGAATAGCTTCCTCGTGACACATAGGACCTGTGGGGACAGATGGGATGTAATTAGCACATGTAGGTTGGGAATTGGAGTAAAAAATGCCTTAAACTTAGTCGAAAAAAGCCGTTTGAGGGGCGAAAATGCAAAACAGCCCCCGAATCACTCTGTGGATGTTACAGGAAGCTTCCTTGTGACACATAGGACCTGTGGGGACAGACGGCATGTAATTTGCACACGTAGGTTGGGAGTTGGAGTCAAACATGGCTTAAACTTAGTCAAAAAAATGCGTTTGGGGGTGAAAATGCAAAACAGCCCCCGAACCACTCTATGGATGTCACGGATAGCTTCCTCATGACACATAGGACCTGTGGGGATAGACGGAATGTAATTAGAACACGCAAGTTGGGAGTTGGAGTAAAAAATGCCTGAAACTTAGTCGAAAAAAGGCGTTCGGGGGGCTAAAATGCAAAGCAGCCCCCGATTCACTCTGTGGATGTTACGGGAAGCTTCCTCGTGACACATAGGACCTGTGGGGACAGACGGCATGTAATTAGCACACGTAGGTTGGGAGTTGGAGTAAAAAATGCCTTAAATTTAGTCGAGAAGAGGCATTCGGGGGGTGAACATGCAAAACAGCCCCCGAACCAATCTATGGCTGTCACGGGCAGCTTCCTCATGACAAATAGGACATGTGGCAGCTTCCTCATGACTCTATGGACATGTGAATATATTTTAGTCATGAGTTGCATGTATTTTATTTTACCTTGATAAAGAAGAACAAGAAGCAACAAATTGGTTGGAAAAGAAAAATAACCATGGTTAATGAGGTGTATGTTCAAAAAAAAGTTTGGTTCCTTTGCTTTTTCAGGACTGAAGACCTTTTCTTTAGAAACTCTATTTTTGCTTTCAGTGTTGCTTTCTGCAATAAAGAGAGTATTGCAAAGGTATTTTTGCTTCAAGGAAATTTTTGTCTATTTTAGGCCATTTGTTTTGATGTAATATAATTTACACTAAAAATAATTTCATGTAGAATAATTTACATCTCTTATTTTTCAATGTTTGGCTTCAACTCTAAATAATTCAAATCACAAATCTCAAGGCAGGCTACCAATTAGCTATTGCTCTGCTATTTATACATAAAAATAAATATATCACAGATTGTTTGAGGAACCAAAAATAGACAGTGAATCAGAATGGCATGCTTCATCACCATGTAAACCAACCAATTAAGGAAAAGAAGAAACAGAAGCTGAAACTGTGGGAGACCATTTTCTTTTTCGTTGTAATTAATATTTTCCCCTTTTTATTATGTTTATTATTTCTAATTGTTATTTTTGATTGTGACACTAAAAACACAAAAGGAAATTTTTGCCATAACTTATCTCTTCTAAGCACCATCATTTTAAACTCGAAGGGTACAACAACTTGAACAATTAAATGCAAACTTTAGCACAGGCCTTATATACTAAATACACATTTCTATTGGCTTACTATTACCCGACCTCATACTCAAAGGCCATGAAACATGGAGGAAAGCTTTTTTTTCATTACAATATAGTAACAGTTATGTCCTTGGCCAGTGGTCAGCCACCAACCACCTCATTATATCATGCAGACACAAAGCATCAAACATATTCTCACATTAATCATTCTTTTAATAATGAATTAGAAATGCTTGTTAATCAAGTCCATGAAACTCTAATATGTTTATTTATTCACCATTCATACTTCAAATCTCCATTTCAACAACAGTGGAGTTGAGGTGATAGGTGATTACAAGTCCAAAGGTATTGCTTATATACCCTTTTCTCGGGTTTAGGCAAGAGAAAGGGAAGTGAATCTAGAGAGGAGAAGAAACCTTAGTTTCAAATTTATAAGGTTCACCATTCACATAGTAAGATTTAAAAATAAAAAAGAAGACAATATGCTTCAATGAGAAATCTCTCTTCACGTGGGAACTATTCCCCATCCATTTTGCTCAAAAAACACTAAACTAAAGTCTCACAAGAAAAACAAAACTTCCTGCACACACTCCAAAATATAGGTCATTATGATCAAGGCATGCTTTTCAACCTGTTCCCCCTCAAGGATATTATAACAGCAAGAAAACGGAAGAATCTTACAGCAACTAATCCAAGTAGTTTCATTTCTAAAATAAGTTTTCTTGAGCAATATTTTACATACCTCTGGATGCACAATACCAAAAGTGCCTATGCACTTCCCTTTGTAAATGATTCTAGCTTGTCCACCCAAAAGAAACCTCATGCAATTGTTCCATAGGTCAATTAAAAGAGAATGTGTAGAAGAGGTAAGACTTACATCTGTACATTGGGAATAGTAGCCTGCATTGATCCCTAGGTTTTAGAAATGGTGTCCCATTTACTTTCATAGCTCTGTCGAAAACGCCTTAAACTTAATTGGAAAACGGCATTTGGGGGGCGAAAATGCAAAATAACCCTTGAACCACTCTGTGGATATTATGGTCAGGTTCTTCAGGACAAATAAGACTTGTGGAGATAGACGGAATGTAATTAGCACACGTACATTGGGAGTTAGAGTCGAAAACGCCTTAAACTTAGTCGAAAAAGGCCACTTAGGGAGTGAAAATGCAAAACAACTCCCAAACCACTCTATGGATGTCGCGCGTAGCTTCCTCATGAAAAATAGGACATGTGGGGACAGACGGCATGTAATTAGCACACGTAGGTTAGGAGTTGGAGTAAAAAATGCCTTCAACTTAGTCAAAAAATAGCGTTCGAGGGCGAAAATGCAAAACAACCCCCGAATCATGTTGTGGATGTTGTGGGCAAGTTCCTCCTGACAAATAGGACTTGTGGGGATAAACTAGATGTAATTAGCACACGTACATTGGGAGTTAGAGTTGAAAATGCCTTAAACTTAGTCGAAAAAGGCCGTTCGGGGGGGCGAAAATGCAAAATAGCCCCTGAACCACTCTATGGATGTCACGGGCAGCTTCCTCATGAAAAATAGGACCTGTGGGGACAGACGACATGTAATTAGCACACATAACTTGGGAGTTAGAGTAAAAAAATGTCTTAAACTTAGTCAGAAAAAAACTGGAGGAGAGGTTTGTAAAAGCGAATCAAATCCATAGCTTTGTGGCATATAGATATATATATATATATATATTGTGCCATGTGGTAGGTTGTATTACCCAAGTGGATAGAAAAATGATGAAACAGAAATTCACAATGATGGCAACCCTAGGTGCTCTGTTTGGTTCTTGAGATTAGAAAGAAAGTGAAATTAAGTTGTTCAATAATCTTTTCATCTAAATCTAGCCAATTTCAGTTTTTCTTGCTTGCAAACTAATAAAGACTACCCATGAATCAACCATGTATGTCTCTATAAGCATATACAAATATATATATATATATACATCCATGAATGAAATGAAATAATTATGAAGTTCTTGAAAGAAGACCCTAAACACTATTGTTACAATTAGGCTTATGTGTTGGGGCTATGTTATTGGAGTCAATCAATCAATATGCAAACATCTACCACACTGATTGAACTTGGAAGATTAGCAAATTGATGAAAAAATGATGAAATAGAAAAGCTCAAAAGATGCAACCCTAGGTGCTTTGTCTGGTTATCGAGATAATAAAGAAAGTGAAATTCAGTTATTATATAAATTTCACCAACATTTTTCAGTTTTTCTTTCTTGCAACCTGAAGGCCCATGAATGAATGAATTCTTACATGTATGGATCTCTATAAACATATATACGAGTTATGTTATTCTTCCATGAATGCAGTTTAGATTCTTCGTAGACAGAGTTACATTATCCTCAAATGTTATATGGAACTAATGGGTGTATTTTTTTTTTGTAGATGTCTTTTGGCATGGATTTGTGGATATTCCATTTTTGTGTACGGAGGACAATTTCCACTTTTGTATAATCCCACTTTTTTGTTGTCCTTTGCTTTTTGTCTGGATTTGTATTACTTGTACAGAATGCTTTTGACGTGGTACATAATACTTTTCGCATGGAACAGACAATTATTGCCGTGATATATAGATCACCTTTTGATGCCAAATGGATATTTGGCACAGTAGTAAATATATTTTTGTGCACGGAGGACATGATTTTCATATGATTATTTGTTCTGTGGAATTTTCATTTTAAATTGGAATATACTTGATTTGTAACGATCTAGAATTTTTCCCTCCGCTCGAGTAGGGGAGTTGACGCTCGAGCGGACTTGAGAGGCTCCCAGCATTTTTGCAGTCTGTTCGAAATTCTAAGAGTTGTGAATTTCCGCTCGAGCGTAGGAGTGGTCGCTCGAGTGAACGGCTTTGTTGGTCTGCGAGCTCGAGCGTGGAAAATGAGATTGCCCTTGACATTTTTATTAGTGTGTTTGGAACCTCCTTATTTTATTTTGGGGTATTGATTGAAGTGGCAACATGATGGTAAAATAAGAGTGAACCAAGAATTTAATTCGAATAATTTTTCCTACGAACAGTTGTCACTCTTTTTCCCTTTTCTTTTTCCACACTTTGAATTTGGATGTGAGGCTAGAACTATTGGAAAGCTTGTTTCCGGGGCTTCAATTTGGACCCAAGAATGACCTAAAACGGAGTCCGGATGAGAGAGTTACGTCTGTTTGAAGTTTTGGAATTTGTGCTGGAAGCAGGTACGCTCGAGCGGACTGCACGAATTCAGCGACTTAAAAAGTGATTTTCTAGATCATTCCTTATACTTTCTTTTTCAGTCTTCCTTCCTCTTATCCTAGGTCCGAAAACCTAGCCCTCAAAACTTTGATTTCATCCATTTTTACCAACAAATCTACCATGGATCTTGCATCAAGGATGAAGAACAAGAGAAGATCTACATTTTCAACCGATTGGATTTTGGATTTTGCGAAGGATTCTTCTTGGAGCCTTTTTCTTGCTTGATTCTTGAGGTAGGGGTCCTAGTTCTTCTTCAGTACTTGCATTAATAGATAGATTTGTGAAATTTTGCAACGCCCTAAAAATAATACATAAAACCCATCTATTTAGACATGCAATGATATAAGAGAAATAAATACATTTCTATTCATCAGAGTAGTTCTTACAAAAGTATTACATGTTAACAACAAAAGCAAGTGCCCTATGGGCTTACAGCTTTCCAAGTTAACACTTGGTTACAAAGAGAAGAGTGCTAACTCTAATACATATTAAGCTCTTGGCTTGAATTTACATGTAATACATCAAAAGAAAGCAAAACAACAAAACAGTCGGTCTGCCTCTAACCTCCCAAACTATGTCCTTGGAGGTGGCATGCTACCTGTACTTGAAAATGATGCCCCATATAGGGTGAGCCAACGCACAGTAGAGATATGCTAAACATAGTATGAGCAGTAACTAAGACATTAGCAATTGATAAATGTTTGACTCACATGAATCAATTCATAAACCATTTCCATTACATGACAAAAGTGTCCATGTTTCATTTCATTTTCCATTTCTTACCCAATTCTCTATTCATAACTATGGCCCAGAACCTGGCCTAACAATTCAGATGAGATAGTAACTCATATTAAACATTTCCCATTTCACAATAGATAAGCATACTAGCTGTATCAACATATCAATAGATAAGCATATGAGCTATATCAACACTTCAACTGATAAGCATATGAGCTGTATCAACGTTTCAACTGATAAGCATATGAGCTGTATCAACACTTCAACTGATAAGCATATGAGTTGTATCAACGGAGTCCATCCCCTATCTCCTCCCAAACAATATCCGGTTTAGAGGTCCATCCCCTATCTTCCCCTAAACCGTGGAGTGCATCCCCTATCTCCTCCCACACAACACAATGTATATAAATATAAATCATATACACATTCAATCAATACATAAAGTTAATGTATTATTTCAACCGTCATAGTCTATGATACATTCAATTGATCAAGTTTAGTTTGCCTAATCATCATGCATTGTCTACAACAATCAAGACTACCCTCCACCGGTAGCCCAAAGCAATTATTTCTAAACAGATAATAAAAGCACTAACAGATAAATTATCCGTATTTTCAAAAGTGAATGATTTATAAATCCAACTCCACTATCCCACCGCATAATGAGCCAATTTCATTATATTCAACTCAATTTCACAAACCTACAACTTTCCCAAATTAATTACACTAATTAGTTTATGCACAATTTAGGGCTTTCTTCCCATCTCTCATTATTAACCCAAAGGTTTAAATATCAACAACCAACAACAATATCATCATTTTGAGACCCAAAATCAATATATAAGAGTCAAAATAATAAACCCCCTTTTTCTACCTTTTGAAACCCTAAGTCCCAAAATCAAACCATATAAACAACATGCTCAATATCTAGGTTAAAACCCATAAGAATGAGTAGGAAGCCCTACCTCAAGAGATGAATCCCAACAAAGAAGATGAAGAAAATGAAGATGCTCCAAATCCTAAAATTCTTGGATCAAAATGTAGCCCTTGATGATCAACACACTTTTTGTAAAGGCCAAAGAGTGAGAGATTACTCTAGCTAGATCAATACTTAGAGAGAAGTGGAGGTTTTAGAGAAAGAAGCTCTCCAATGGCTATTTTCGAAAAGTAAGAGAGAGAAAGGATGTAAAAAGTGATTTAAAAATGCCCAGCTGCCAACTGATATACACATGACCCGCTCGAACGGAGAATAGAACGCTCGAGCGTCAAGCACGCTCGAGCGCAAGAATGCCCGCTCGAGTGCCAAGACACAAGAATAAAATACACCCGCTCGAGCGCGAAAACCAGTCCGCTCGAGCGTAGATTTCCCCCTCCCAGAATTTTCTCAGACAAAGCACTACCCGCTCAAGCGCGACCCGCTCGAGCGTAGGAAACCCGCTCGAGCATGAAAAACACACTTGCAGAAGTTTTGCAGGGACACGAAATACTGGGAGTGTGTAAACCCCGCTCGAGCGCAAGAATACCCGCTTGAGCGGACAACCAAAAATGAAACTTCGCTCAAGCACAGAATGGCCCGTTCGAGCGTAACACCAAAATTCTGGGCAACAACACTTGAGACCAAAACTCAACCTACCTATTCGAAACACGCCCAACACATCCTAAAACTCAAACATATGGAATTAAAGAATGACAACAAGATATATAACCACCAACTCCACGGAACTGAGTCCGGAGTACAACAAACAAAGAAAGGGAAACCGGGATCGCTATAAATTTTGACTATATAAATACAAACTCTCAATTTTTTAGCATATAGTGTACATCATGAGATTTGGGGGTTTAGGGTTTGAAGTGTTGGGGGTTCAATTGTTGGGTTAATATGGTGGATTATGAATCTTAGGTGTATAATCAAGGGGGAAATTGGAATTAAAAGTAGTGGTGTGAGAAGTTTCAATTTCTTTGAAATTCTTGATTTTTCTTGAAAACCCTAGGTTGATTCATGATGATAATTAATGATTTTGCCCAAATTGAAAATAGAATCATGAAATTGAGGTATTGAATTATATATATACAAGTTTAATTGAATTTTGGAAATGTTTGAAAATTATGTTAAAAATTAGCGAATGAACCTTGTTATGGGCATTGTAAATCATGTTATAATATAAACTTGGTTGTGGAATGTTGAAGTGGGATTCAATAATTTATCTTCAATTATGTTGAATTGCAAATAGTGTTGTTGAATTAAGTTGTGTTGACTTATGTTGAATTAAGTTGTATTGAGTCATGTTGAATTGAATTGTGTTGAACTATGATGAATTGTGTTTGAATCAAGTTGAATTGTGTTGCGTTGAGTGGTGTAGGGTGTGTTGGGTTGAGTTGAGTTGAGTTGCGTTGAGTGTGTTGAGTTTGGGTTGAGTTGTGTTGGGTGGTGTTATGTTGGTACCTACACGGGGAGTTGAAAAATGGTTTTTCAATGCCCACGACCGTCCATATAATAGCCGGTAAATGTGGGGAATGGTTTTAAAAATTGAAGAAAAAGGTTTTGGGGGGCCCACGTCCCATCGTATAGTAGCCGGCAAATGTGGGGGTGATTTTGGATTAAAGGTGCCCAATTGCCCTGTCTAGGCTTATCGCTGGACGAATGTGGGAAAATGTTTTTGGGTGTCCACACAGTCCCGCCGTATAGTAGCCGGCGAAAGTGGAAAATGATTTTTGGGTGTCCACACAGTCCTACCATATTGTAGCCGGCAAAAGTGGAAAAGCGGATGGTTTTCGAAATTGTTTTGGGTGCCTACATCCCACCGTATAGTAGCCGGCAAATGTGGGGGATGGTTTTAAAAAGTTGAAAAATGGTTTTTGGAAAAACATGGATTTTGGAAGAAAATGGCTTTTGAGAAAATAGTTTTTGGGAATTCACTTCCGCCTGTATAGTAGCCGGCGAAAGGTGGAAAGTGTTATGAATTGGGTGCCCGCTATCCTGCCGTAGTAAGTCGGCAAAAGGTGGATTGTGTTGAGATATGTGTCGACAAGTGTGTTGAATTTATGATGTTATTTGTGACTTGTGATGAATTTGTGAAATTGCATATTGTTGTGTAATTTGGTTTAAAGAGGAAATGTAAGGGGATTATGGATTGGTGATGGTGAACTTAATGAATTAGTTGTGACCATAAAGATAAATTATGGGTGTTGTTCTATAAATAAATTAGGGAACTTGAACTTGAATTTACGGAGTTCTAAATAATGAGGAGAAAGGAAGCATGAAAGACAAAGAGGAATATTAAAAATGGAAATTAAATGAGAAATATTTTGGGAATTAGTTAATAATTTTTAAATGATGTTGTTTCTTAAATATGTTTGTTTCACAAGGAACTATGGTTTTCTAAAGTTAAGGGATGATTTCTAATGGCTGAAGGTTTTTCTTAAAAGCATTTAAATAGTTTTTGAGAAAAAGGTACTTTATTTATGATATTTTGAAATTATAAAATGTTACCCTACTATATGGTATCACCCTGCATGCATGATCATTTCTATCTGTGTGTTTGCTATTGATTGAGAACTATGAGATTCCTACTGGGCATTAGTGCTCACTCCGTTTTGTTGTTAACATGTAATACTTTTGTAATGAAACACTGATGAATAGAAGAATGTGGTTATTTCATATGTTA